CCCTGCTAGCTCCTGGGCTAGAATCCTTTCCCCCCTTTGGGACAGGCGTTCCCCATCTTCCACCAGCAGGCCTCGTGCTGTATGAACTGACCCATGGTCAAAAAACTCAAAATTCTGGCACTTACACCAGTCACAGAGCCAGGAATTAATTAATGCCATTTTTCTGATGTTATTATTGTCATTGTTTGCAACTGGCAGCACGGACAAGAATACTACTTGGGCTCCTGAATCCTGCACCAGTCGCCGCAAGGCCTTCAAGTCCTTCTTGAGTCCCCTCAGGCTTCTTGAGGGGATTTCTTCATGGCCCACCTGGAAGACTAATAAAGGATAGTAGTGCCCTGGGTTCAGCAGTAGCAATCATGTTTCTCAGTATTAGTAGATGGTGCAGTGCTGTGCCTTTGACTTTCAGCCTGGGAACAACGCTGATATCACCAGTGTTTTTAGTTGTTGCTAAGTAATGTTTACTCTGACCAAGGACTTTCTCAGTCTCATGCTCTGCCAGGGAGGAGGGGAAGCCGGGAGAAAGCAGAGACAGGACACCTTGCTTAAACTAACCCAAAGGGTATTCCATACCACAACATGTCATTCCCAGGATATAAACTGGGGCAGTTACCTGGGAGGGGTAGATCACTCCTCGGGTCAGGCTGTGTATTGGTCGGTGGGTGGTGAGGGGTTGTATTCTCTTCCCTTGTTATTTCCTTTATCATTATTATTATTGGTGGTAGCAGTAGATTTTTTGTGTTATACTTTAGTTACTGTACTGTTCTTATCTCAACCTGTGAGAGTTACATTCTTTTGGTTCTCCTTCCCATCCCTCCAGGAGTATGAGGTAGAAGAGGGGGAATGAGCAAGCGGCTGCGTGGTTCTGGGTTGCCGTCTGGGCTTAAACCGCAACAAGTAGTCACAGGGCCGTACCAGATGAATTAGTTTTCTTGTGACGTTCCTTACCCTGCCCCCAGGGAGGCAGTAGACTTCTCTGTGAGTCTGGTCAGGCCGACATATGGGGCCTTCTGTTCCCCTTAGTGTGAAGTCACCAATCACCACTACTCTTTTTTTCTAATGCAACTGGTCAGAAAATGAGGTGTTCTCCAACTTTTCTGTGGGAGCTCTTCTATCCTGGATGATCCCTTATCATTATCTTCCTCACTTTCCTGATCCTGTAGTACCAGGGCTCATATTGCTCTGTCTGCACAAAGTGCCAGGCAAACTGTCGCATTATGCTCCCAAGGGCAGTGTTTTATCTTCTCAGAGTGGTGCCATCCCTCTTGTCATGGCTCACTATGACTCCACTGCTTAAGTTGGCAGAGATGCCATCTCATGGGAAAGTCCTGATGAGGACTTGAGGTTCTTTTGGTGGTTCTTGTTATTCAGGATCAAGCCTCCTGGACGCTGTGTTTTCCTCACTCTGTTGCTGAAGGCGTCCTCTCTGGAGCTACTCACCTAGGCAATTCATGAGAATATAATTCATAAACGTAATGAGCTCTATTCTCTGGCAAGTCATGGCCAATCCAAGGGTTTTCCACATGGTGGGATTAATCATTTTTGTAAGAAAACAGTTTCTCTGCCATAGCAATACTTGTCAGCTTCCTTACACTGTAGCAAAGCAAAATAAATTACGTCTTTGAGGACCTCTGTTAAATATTCAGATTACTTTAATAAAATGAAGACTTGCATAAAGTATGGTGTAAGCATGCATACTTGATAGATACACAGCTATATTTCTGTGTATTTACTTATGTTCAGGACATAAGTTTATGAGTGTTTGTGCACATACATTTATATTTCAGCTTATCTCAGAGATACTGCTGAGGTGAGCAGCTCGAGGGAGGATGCCTTCAACACCCGAGCAGGGGGATCCTCATGGGGGATTTCAGCCACCCCAATACATGTTGGAGTGATGGAACAGCCCGGCGCAAGCAATCCAGGAGGTTCCTTGACTGTGTGGAAGACAACTTCCTTCTGCAAGTAATAGAGGAGCCGACAAGGAGAGGTGCCATGTTTGACCTCGTGCTCATTGGAAGTGTGATGCTCCAGGGCAGCCTTGGTTGTAGCGATCATGAGATGGTTAAGTTCGAGATCCTCAGGACAGTGAGAAGAGCGTGCAGCAAGCTCACTGCCCTGGCCTTCAAGAGAGCAGACTTTGGCCTCTTCAGGTACCTGCTCAGTAAGGTTCCAAGGGATACAGCCCTAGAGGGCAGGGGGGCCCAAGACTCCTGGTTGATATTCAAGGATCACCTGCTACAAGCTCAGGAATGTTTCATCATCCTGCCTAGAAAGAAGTGCAGCAAGAGGGCCAGGAGACCTCCATGGATGGATAAGGAGCTGCTGAGGAAACTTAGAGGGAAAAAAAATGCTTATACAAGGTGGAAGCAAGGACAGGCGGCCTGGGAAGATTACAGGGATGTTGTCTGGGAAGCTAAGGACCAGGTTAGGAAAGCTAAGCCCCAGTTAGAATTAAACTTGGCTAGGGATGTGAAAAATTACAGGAAAGGATTCTATAGTTACACTGCAAATAAAAGACAGGCTAGGGACAACATGGGCCCTCTCTGGGAGTTATCAAGCAGGAGAACTGGCTACCCTGGATTTGGAGAAGGCTGAGGTTCTGAATGACTTCTTTGCCTCGGTCTTCACTGGCAAAAGCTCTGACCACACCACACAAGTCTTGGAAAAAGGATGCAGGGACTGTGGGAATGAAGACTTTAGTCCCACTGTAGTAGAGGATCTGGTTCGAGATCATCCTAAAAACCTGAATGTGCTTAAGTCCATGGGACCTGACAAAATCCATCTGCGGGTCCTGAAGGAGCTGGCGAATGAAGTTGCTAAGCCGCTGTCCATCATATTTGAATAATTCTGGCAGTCAGGTGAAGTTCCTGACAATTGGAAAAAGGGTAATATAACTCCCATTTTCAAGAAGGGGAAAATGGATGACCCAGAGAACAGTCTCACCTCCATGCCTGGCAAAATCTTGGAGCAGATTCTTCTGGAAGGCATGTTAAGGCACATGAAAAACAGCAAGGTGGTTGGTGACAGCCAGCATGGCTTCACTAAGGGCAAATCCTGTCTGACCAATTTGGTGGGCTTCTACGATGGGGCGACAGAACTGACGGACAGGGGTAGGGCAGTTGGCATCATGTACCTGGACTTGTGCAAAGCATTCAACACTGTCCCACATGACGTCCTTGTCTCTAGACTGGAGAGACATCAATTTGATGGATGGACCAATTGGTGGATAAGGAATTGGCTGGATGGCTTTACGCAAGGACTTGCAGTCAACAGCTCAGTATCCAGCTGGAGACCAGTAACAAGTGGTGTCCCTCAGGGATCAGTGTTGGGACCAGTATTTTTCATCTTTGTCGGTGACATGGACATTGGGATTGAGTGCTCCCTTAGCAAGTTTGACGATGACACCAAGCTGTGTGGTTCGGTTGATGTGCTGGAGGGAAGGAATGCCATCCAGAGGGACCTTGACACACTTGTGAGATAGGCTGATGCCAACCTCATGAAGTTCAACAATGCCAAGTGCAAGGTCCTACACCAGGGTCGGAGCAATCCCAGGGACAGCTGCAAGTTGGGCAAAGATGAGATTCAGGGCAGCCCTGCGGAGAAGGAATTTGGGGTGTTGGTCGATGAGAAACTTAATATGAGCCTGCAGTGTGCGCTCGCAGACCTGGAAGCCAACCGTATCCTGGGCTGCATCAAAAGGAGTGTAACCAGCAGGTTGAAGGAGGTGATCCTGCCCCTTTACTCTGCTATCATGAGACTCTACTTGGAATACTGTGTACACTTCTGGTGTCCTCAACAGAAGGACATGGAACTGTTGAAACGAGTCCAGAGGAGGGCCATGAGGATGATCAGGGGACTGGAGCACCTTCCATATGAAGTTAGGCTGACAAAGTTGGGGCTGTTTAGGATGGAGAAGAGAAGGCTGCGTGGAGACCTCATAGCAGCCTTTTAGTATCTGAAGGGGGCCTGTGAGGATGCTGGGCAGGGACTCTTCATTAGGAACTGTAGTGATAGAACAAGAGGTAACAGGTTCAAACTTAAACAGGGGACATTTAGATTGGATATAAGGAGGAAGTTCTTTCCTGTGAGGGCAGTGAGGCCCTGGAATGGGTTGCCCAAGGAAGTCGTGAATACTCCATCCCTGGTGGTGTTCAAGGCCAGGTTGGACAGAGCCTTGTGTGACATGGTTTAGTGTGAGGTGTCCCTGCCTGTGGCAGGGGGATTGCAACTAGATTATCTTAAGGTCCTTTCCAACCCTAACTGTTCTATGATTCTTTAATTGTACTTCTGTGATGCCTAAGAGTTATTAGGGTACTAATAAAGATTTTCAGGTTTGTTTCCTTGCTACTACCAATTTATGTTGTACATGTAATTTCAAAGTTTGTGTTTCACTTTAAACTGGGCATCAGCAGTCTGTGCAGGAAAGCAGTACTTACATATAGGCTTAGATTAGTAGGTTGGTTGCTCTACTTAAACTTGTTTGAGTACAAAAGCTGAGGCTTGAATCTTTGGAGCCCCAAGAACCACTGTCAATTGAAGCAGTCTAGATTTTGTTAATTTGCTTGATCAACCTTGCAGCCAGGTAGAAGAAGAAGTGGATGAAAAGTACTTTAATATAGTACAGTGCTGTTCTGTCTGTGTGATTGAGGTGCTTCTTCATACACAGTTGGCACGTGTATGGCCAGATCCTTTCATGTTTAGTTCAACTGGAATTTACATTCCATTGATTTTGGGTCCAGAACAAATGCAGTTTGACATTTTTGTATTTCAGGCATGTAAGTCTAGCCTGGTTTTGTTTTTATGTGAGTGATCTTAACACTTGAATGAGTTGAATGAAGGTGGCTGGATGGATCTCTCTGTTGAATGGCCTGTATAGGAATTTTGCTTTCCAATTAGATCTTATGCAGATATTTTCAACATCAAGAGTAACTTTGATAGTGCTGTTCTTACTTTCAAATTGTGAAACTTTCTTTCCTCTGTCCTTTGTTTTCTTGCAGCCAGCTGGGTACATGGAAAACTCCATTTCCTACAGTGCTATTGAAGATGTTCAACTGCTCTCCTGGGAGAATGCCCCTAAGTACTGTTTACAGCTCACAGTCCCTGGGGGTACTATCTTACTGCAGGTACAGTAAACACCAAAGTACAATTTTCTTTCTCTCTTACTATGAATTTCCTTTATCTTGTCTGCTATACATGAAATCTTAATTAAATGGACTCAGAAAAGACAGAGAATTCAGTGCTGTCAAATTATCTAACCACCAGACTCTGAAACTCTTCATGTTGTTTGACAGTCAGAATGGAAATTTTGGGCCACAGTGGTTAAATCTTATTCCTGATTTTGTGCATCAAAATAATACCCTATGGAGAGGCACATTGATTCGGGCCTGGAACAACTGTGGTTTTGCATATAGTCCTATTCCTGCATGAAACAAATTAAAAATGTCATCCTTCAATTCATACAGGAAACCCATAACTTGCACTGATACTAACAGGTATCTTTTTAAAAAATATATCTTCACTGGAAGATTTCAGTATATTTGCATGTCTACAGATGCTAGTCCTCAAAGTGTTGTTTTCAAACTGAACATGCTGTGTTTATTATTCTCGATTTCTTCATCCCTTTGTGAGGCTTAGGTCAGTACAAGTTTTAGAGGCAGAAAATGACTCCACAGTGCTGAGCTTTGGAACTGCTTTAAAATAGGAAAAGCAAAGCATTTGAGAACTGTCATGGTTTAAAACCTAGCCAGACAGCTTGTTCACTCAATCCCAGTGAGTGGCGCCAGGCTAGAAGCAATCGAGGCCCCCCCCCCCCCCCCAGGGGCTTTCCCCTTCCCCACTACTGGAGGAATGGGGAGGAGAATCAAAAGAGCGCAACTCCCACGGGTTGAGACAAGAACAGTCCAGCAAACAATGTACAACGCAAATCACCACTGCTACCACCAACGACAACAATGATAAGAGAAAATAACAAGGGAAGAGAATACAAGACCACCTGCTGAGAACAGAGTCCGACCCAGAAGACCCCGTGTCCTTCCGGGTAACTCCCAGTCACCCCCCCCGCGCATGACATGCTGTGGTATGGAATACCTCTTTGGCTAGCTTGGGTCAGGTGTCCTGTCTCTTCTTACTCCCGACTTCCCCTCCTCCCTGGCAGAGCATGAGACTAAGAAAGTCCTTGGTCAGGGTAAACATTACTTAGCAACAACTGAAAACATCGGTATTATCAGCACTGTTCCCAGGCTGCAAGTCAAAACATAGCACGGCACCAGCTACCAAGAAGGAGAAAAATTGACTGCTACTGCTAAACCCAGGACAGTATCCACTCCTTATACCATACCATTCATGTCATGCTCAGATCCCACATTTTCAATATACCATCTCTCTCCCACATATATACATCCATATACACACAGACCAAGAGAAAGAGATCATTTTCTTAGTGCATGGACCAATCCCTATAATGCTGCCGAGTCCATTCGGTCCATGATGTCAGATTCCATCTCTTGTAACAATCTTTCAGGGCAGGAAAGGCTGTGTGCAGTATTGTATCATTGCCTGCTGATGCTGATTGTTCCTTTACTGTGGAACATGTCCAGTTCTATCAAAGTTCATTCTCTGTTGGGATGATGGCTGGAGGGAAGTCAGGGCTAGTCGCTGGTGACCTGGAGACATCTAGTTGATGGGCTATAAAAGTATTACACAGCAGGACACCGCATACAATTAAGTTCATTGGCTGTTTTCCCCTAAAATCAAAAACCCTTGAGGTATACATTGGACTTCCCCATCTTCCTGCATTACCCACCAAGTATATCCAGGTCCCTGAGCAAAAGCAATCCCACGAGTGGGTTTGCCTTTACCTGAAGCAGGAATAGCCCAGACTGTCTTCCCCAGCAAATTCTTCATATGCACCACGGGAACTTTGTCCCCCTCTACAATATGTAAAAGTTCTGACTGGGCTGGGCCAGCCCTGCTGTCAGGTCCTCTGGTGTTGTCCAACCAGGTGTCCTTTAGTAAGTGTGTATCCCAATGCTTGAAAGTTCCCCCACCCATTGCTCTCGGTGTTGTTTTTAACAACCCATTGTACCGTTTGATTTTCCCAGAGGCTGGTGCATGGTAGGGGATGTGAAATGCCCATTCAATGCCATGCTCTCTGCCACAAGTGCCTAAAAGATTGTTCTGGAAATGAGTCCCATTTTCTGACTCAATTCTCTCTGGGGTGCTGTGTCACCACAAAATCTGTTTCTCAAGGCCCAGGATAGTCTTCCGGGCAGTTGCGTGGGGCACTGCGTATGTTTCCAGCCATCCGGTGGTTGCTTCCACCACGGTAAGCACATGGCGCTTGCCTTAGTGGGTTGGTGGCAGTGTGATATGGTCAATCTGCCAGGCCTCCCCATATTTATACTTCAACCATCGTCCTCCATACCAAAGAGGCTTTAACCGTTTGTCTTGTTTAATTGCAGCACATGTTTCACAGTTCTGAATAACCTGGGCAATAGTGTCCATTGTTAAGTCCACCCCTCAATCATGGGTCCATCTATATGTTGCATCTCTGCCCTGATGGACTGAAAGCGTCATGGGCCCACCGGGAAAAAGAAGTATTCACCTTTATGTTGCTTGTCTAAGTCCATCTGAGCCAGGTTTAAAACCTAGCCAGACAGCTTGTTCACTCACTCCCAGTGAGTGGTTCTGGGCTGGAAGCAATTGAGGCCTGCGTGTCCCCCCCGGGGGCTCTCCCCTTCCCCGCTCCCGGAGGGATGGGGAGGAGAATTGAAAGAGTGCAACTCCCACGGGGTGAGACAAGAACAGTCCAGCAAACAATGTACAACACAAATCACCACCGCTACCACCAATGACAACAATGATAAAAGAAAATAACAAGGGAAGAGAATACAATACCATCTGCCGAAAAAACGAGTCTGATCCAGAAGACCCCATGTCCTTCCAGGTAGCTCCCACTTACCCCCCCCCCCGGGCGTGACGTGCTGTGGTATGGAATACCTCTTTGGCTAGCTTGGGCCAGGTGTCCTGTCTCTGCTTCCTCCCGGCTTCCCGTCCTCCCTGGCAGAGCATGAGCCTCACAAAGTCCTTGGTCAGGGTAAACATTACTGAGCAACAACTGAAAACATCGGTATTATCAGCACTGTTCCCAGGCTGAAAGTCAAAACACAGCGCTGCGCCAGGTACCAAGAAGGAAAAAAATTGACTGCTACTGCTAAACCCAGCTGCTGTGCTGACAAATAACTTTGAATAGTCAGAACTTAGGCTAAGTTGACTCCATCTTAATTCTTACCATAGTTCTCCACATTGTTTCAAAGACAATTTTACCTGTTACCCCTTGGGAATTTTCTTTTTCACTTGAACGTACAGCTATGACTGCTGTGTACATGCATTTCATGTAGAGAGTGTCAAGAGATAGGGTGAGAAATTTCTTCAGAAAATATGAAGATCAGTTTAAACTGTGTAAAACTCATGAAAAATCAAAAAGGATATGTTTACTCTTGAAAAAGTATGAATCATTGGATTGATCATAATAGAACTTGTGTGTGTGGGTGTGTACACTCTCACATTGCTGCTTTTGCACAAAATGTAGTCCAATTGGTAAAAATATGGGAACATACTGAATGATACACTAATGACTGTGATAACCATGTGTCCTGGGTTCAGCAGTAGCAGTCATTTTTCTCCTTCTTAGTAGCTGATGCAGTGCTGTGGTTTTGGCTTTCAGCCTGGGAACAGCACTGAGAAGTCCGATGTTTTCAGTTGTTGCTAAGTAATTTTACTCTGACCAAGGACTTTCTTAGTCTCATGCTCTGCCAGGGAGAAGGGGAAGCCGGGAGGAAGCAGAGACGGGACACCTGACCCAAACTAGCCAAAGAGGTATTCCATGCCACAGCATGTCATGCCCAGGATGTAGAACTAGGGGCAGTTACCTGGAAGGGCTAGATCACTGCTTGGTCAGGCTGGGTATCGGTTGGCAGGTGCTGAGCAACTGTATTCTCTTTCCTTGTCATTTCCCTTATCATTATTATTATCGGTGGCAGCAGTAGTGGTTTTGTGTTTTACCTTAGTTACTGGACTGTTCTTATCTCAACCTGTGGGAGTTACATTCTTTTGATCCTCCTTCCCATCCCTCTGGGAGGGGGAGGGAGTGAGGAAAGGGGGGGGGGAAGTGACGGAGTGGGCTGCATGGCTGAGTTGCCAACTGGGCTTAAACCATGACAGTTCTTTTTGGTGCCAAACGTGGGGCACGAAGGGTTGAGATGATGACAGATCTGACCAGATTGTGTCTAATCGTATTTGTGATAAGCATTCAGTGTTTCAGATTAATAGTCACTCGTCACAATGCTGATTTATTGGCTTTCAAAGTTGTGGCACTTTATCTCCCAGTTTCAGCATTTCATACCTTACTTACAGCCAGTATTTGCTGTCTTAGTGCATAGTGGGTGAGGGGCTTAGGCTAAGGTTCTTGTTTTGCTGTACTTTATGGTAATGACTTGTAATAAAGTAGACTCATTGATTATGAAACTGATCTGGCTTGTGTTCCCAGTGTGGTCATCACCTTTATACTTTGGGAGGTGTATAATGGAAGTATTTAGCGTACTTTTTCCCCTCCTCAGGTGGTCAACCTATGAAGGAGACATTCCCTTACATTCTAACCTCCCCCACCAGATTATTTACAACATCATTTGAGAGTTCTGAAGGTTTTGAATGGCCTTTGAGTACCCTTGAGTCCTGCCTGCTGATTGTGATGGGGATCACCATGTTGGCAAACATACAGAGTGTGCTTTACCCATTTTGTCTCATCTGAAAAGTTAAGCAGAGTCAGGTTTGGGTCTTGTCTAGGGTTAGATGATGTTATAGGAGGACCAAGAGATTTTCCCCAAGGCTGGACAGTCATGAGTGGCAGGGTGTGTAGGATAGTATGGGAAAGTATCTAGGCCAGTGGGCCCCTCCAGTGCTTTGGAACTTCACCACTGAACAAGTGCAAAATCTGGAATATTTAGTTAAACACTTAAATGAGGTGTATTGTCATCCTGGTCATTCCAGAGATGGCCAAATCATGGCAATGTGCTGTGGCTTGGCCTATGCTTACAAAGCCCTGCTCAACACTATCCAGCACTTTTAAAGGGGAAAAAATGTCTCTGGATCCAATGGCAAAGCAACAGACTATGCAGGTACTCCAACTACCTCCAGTAGTGAGGGGAGGAAGAAGGGGGTGATTGAGCGTGTGGCTGCGTGGTTCTGAGTTACTGGCTGGGCTTAAACCACAACACCAGCAGAGATGGGAAATATTTTTAGGAGGAAAATAGCATTTCTAGCAGTTACCATCAACTCTCTCTTTACCTTGAGTGAAGCCAGAAGAGTGGAAGATTTCATTTGCAGGCCTGCCCGTGTTGTGGAGGTGCAACACTGCAGTTTGCATCAGCATTATAAATTTTTTTTACAGTCTGCGTGAAGGAGCAGTGTGTGTGCCATGGGGGTTTAACTTCCTGCAGCCTCAAGCTGTTCTGCTCTGCTGTTACTTTGGCTGATTATAAATTGGTGCATAGAAGCCTGCAATATTTTATGGATCTGTTGTGGTTTAAGCCCTAGCCAGACAGCTTGTTCACTCACTCCCAGTGAGTGGTGCTGGGCTGGAAGCAATCGACCCCCCCCCCCCCCCCCAGGCTCTCCTCTTCCCCGCTCCTGGAGGGATGGGGAGGAGAATCAAGAGTGCAACTCTCAAGAATATGGATGCCTTCCCCCCATGTAAAATTTCAACCCATCTTCCTACTCTGCTCCTGATGAGTAATAGCAAAGGCAAATGTCCTACAGACATTAAAGATCTGACCAAAGCCTGTCTGAAACCCAGGAGGACTTTTCAGTCTTTGTCTCATACACTGTTTTATAGGAGGTTAATGTTTTGTAAGGTTTTGGTTCAGTTTTTTTGCATTTGACCCAGGGAAGTGCAGACTAGTCAGTCTCACCCCTGTGCCTGGCAAAATCTTGGAGCAGATTCTCCTGGAAGGCATGCTAAGGCACATGAAAAGCAACAAGGTGGTTGTAGACAGCCAGCATGGCTTCACTAAGGAGAAATCATGCCTGACCAATTTGGTGGCCTTCTATGATGGAGTGTCATGGTTTAAACTCTGTCAGCCATGCAGTCTCGCTCGCTCACTCCCCCCCTTCCTTCCCCCCCACCGCTCCCAGAGGGATGGGGAGGAGAATCGAAAGAATGTAACTCCCATGGGTTGAGATAAGAACAGTCCAGTAACTAAGGTATAACAAAAACCACTACTGCTACCACCAATAATAATAATGATAAGGGAGACAACACGGGAAGAGAATACAATACCACCTGCCGATACCCAGACAGACGGAGCAGTGAACTAGCCCTTCCAGGTAACTCTTGGTTACATCCTGGGCATGACGTGCTGTGGTATGGAATGCCTCTTTGGCTAGTTTGGGTCAGGTGTCCTGTCTCTGCTTTCTCCTGGCTTCCCATTCTTCCCTGGCAGAGGATGAGACTCAGAAAGTCCTTGGTCAGAATAAACATTCTCACCAGCAACTAAAAGCACTGGTGTTATCAGCGCTGTTCCAAGGCTGAAAGTCAAAACCACAGCACTGCACCAGCTACTAAGGAGAAACAATGACTGCTGCTGCTGAACCCAGAACATGGGGCTATGGAACTCATGGACAGGTGTAGAGCAGTTGACATCATCTATGTCCCACATGACATCCTTGTCTCTAAATTGGAGGGACATCAATTTGATAGATGGACCACTTGGTGGATAAAGAAGTGGCTGGATGGCCTCACACAAAGAGTCATGGTCAGTAGCTCAATGTCCAGCTGAAGACCAGTAATGAGTGGTGTCCCTCAGGGATCAGTGTTGGGACTGGTCTTGTTCAACATCTTCGTTGGTGACACGGACAGTGGGATTGAGTGCACCCTCAGCGCGTCTGCTGATGACTCAAAGCTGTGTGGTTCGATTGATACGCTGGAGGGAAGGAATGCCATCCAGAGGGACCTCGACACGCTTGTGAGGTGGGCTGATGCCAACCTTATGAAGTTTAACCATGTCAAGTGCAAGGTCCTACACCTGGGTTGGAGCAATCCCAGGCACAGCTACAGGTTGGGCAGAGAAGAGATTCAGAGCAGCCCTGCAGATAGGGACTTGGGGATGTTGGTTGATGAGAAACTTACCATAAGCTGGCAATCTGCGCTCCCAGTTAAAAAAGCCAACTGTTTCTTCGGCTGCATCAAAAGGAGCGTGACCAGCAGGTCGAAGGAGGTGATCCTGCCCCTTTACTCTGCTCTTGTGAGACCTCACCTGGAGTATTGTGTGCAGTTCTGGTGTCCTCAACATAAAATGGACATGGAACTGTTGGAACAATTCCAGAGGAGGGCCACGAGGATGATCAGAGGACTGGAGCACCTCCTGTATGAAGACAGGCTGATAAAGTTGGGGCTGTTCAGCCTGGAGAAGAGAAGGCTGCGTGGAGACCTCATAGCAGCCTTCCAGTATCTGAAGGGGGCCTATAGGGATTCTGGGGATGGACTCTTCATTAGGGACTGTAGTGATAGGACAAGTGGTAACGGGTTAAAACTTAAACAGGGGACATTTAGATTGGATATAAGGAGGAAGTTCTTTACTGTGAGGGTGGTGAGGCACTGGAATGGGTTGCTTAAGATTGTTGTGAATGCTCCATCCCTTGGAGTGTTCAAGGCCAGGTTGGACAGAGCCTTGTGTGACATGTTTTAGTGTGAGGTGTCCCTGCCCATGGCAGGGGGGTTGGAACTAGATGATCTTAACGTCCTTTTCAACCCTAACTCTTCTGTGATTCTGTGATTTGCAGCAATATCTTCATGTCACTGCTTTCTGTGAGAATAAACTGCTTATAATGTGATGTTGTAGCTTTGAGCAAAGATTTTCCTTCATTCAGATGAGGCTGGGTGTAAAGTTAACCAGGGTGATAAAGTTCAGAAGAATCTGGTGATTGTAGATTCATTAGTTTTAGGGCACACATGGGTGATTTGCTTAGTTTTGGCTGGGTGATCTGAAATGCTGGTAGAAACTTAATGATTCTGTAACTTTTGTTTGTTACAGGCTGCAAACAGTTACCTGCGGGATCAGTGGTTCCATTCTTTGCACTGGAAGGTAAGTTCTGCACTTCACTGTCTTCCTTGTCTGCCTATAAGAATACTTTTTAGTATTCCCTATTCCTTTATTGTAAGAATGAATGGATTAAGTTCTTGTCTTTCAGAAACCTAAATCAGAACATGCATGCAGTTTTAACTTGTTTATAATGTGAAGTGGACAAGTTAACTTGTTACATAGCCCAGCTTTATTAGCATGTGATTGGCTTCAAAAAGTAGATAGGCAGTAAATTCACATTTAAACAGTAGGTTTAAACAGAGATAGGATGGTTTTGGTTTTGTACTATGAAGTGTAATATGTTACAGAATGCCTATAGCCCAATCACATGCTCTGGACTCTAGAGATACTTGGGGGTTTTGTGTTTTTTTTCTGAGAAACTAGGGAGAAAGGGTGTCTTTTAGAGTTGCTTACTGCAAGTAGCATCAATCTGTTACGCATCAGTCTGTGTTTATTCTTTAGGATGATTTTGATTTAAGGGCAGTTTTCATTTCAGATGTCTTGAGCCCTTTCTCATTTTCAGTGAGAACAATGGATTGACTGCCCTCAGTAGGGGAAGTGGATCACAGTGACACAATTGTCTCTCAAAAGCAGCACTTTCCTCATCGAAAACTGTAGCTGTTGACCTTTGGATGGAATTCATATGCATTTTTGATGCAGCTAGAAACAAGTTTTGGCCAGATGCTGAATATGGTTGTCCTTTCTTGTCTTGTGGTGGAAACACAGGCAGTAGCTTTTCATCTGAGGGCTTGTCTTTGACAAGGCTCCAGTGAAGTCAGCAAAGATTTCATCCTGCTGACAGCAGCCACATACAAAAATATAAGGAAGCCCCTCCCACCAAACTGTTTTTGTTGTAGGTGTATTTTATAGTTGCAAAATAGTCATGTGGCAAAACTACAGTATTGTTGTGCTTTGTATAGCCATCAGCATGTGGCAGAATCGTACTCTGAGCAGATCCAGGTTCTTATCAGTAAAAGCCAAGTGTGGAGATCTTTTCCAGACCACTGGCATATTCTCCAGCCTGTTACCCTGATTGCCTAAATGAGTGTGGGACAGTAATGCTGATAGTAGAAGGCTGGGCTGTGGTGTGGCACTTTATGTTGGCCTCTTGACAGTATCATTAACACAATGCCTAGTCAGTCTTGCTTTCTTTGCAACTCCTGAGGATAACAAAGAGCTTAAAGCATGCAGAGACATTATCCCCATGTGGCCATTATTTTTCCTCCTGCTTTGGCAGGCAAGGATGATGAGAGAAAGCATAGACAGAAATGATGCTGGAATTTCCTTTTCTACCTTGCCTCCAACAAGGATGGTACTGATGTGCTGGTGGCAAATGCCTGCTTTGCTCCTGCAGTGAGGGGAAAATTTGGGTCAGAGGTGCAACTCTGTAAAAAAAGGTAAGGAGTGGTAAAAATACAATCTGGCCTTACCACCACACACCCCATCAATTAAATTGTAGAAAGAAAGGAAAAGAGAAAAAGCAAGCCTAGACAGAATGACCTAGCTTGCTCACATGCCTTTCAGTCATGGAGAGGGAGCTTTGCTCTCTGGAAGTTGTTTTTAAAGGAGTATTTCTTAAACTTTCCAATGCTTCTGACCAAGCCTCTCATTTTGGGGAACTGAGTAATTTCACTTGTTGCAAAGTAGAATTTATTTTTGCTTCCTTGCTTCCCTTCCCACCCCCATTGAGTTTGTTTCTGAAAAACAAGTGAAACATTATCTTGATTTGAAAGACCTTCCCTTTACTAAGAATAGCAAGTAGCTTTTTCCCATAAGAACAGTGACAGGGTTCAGTCACTGCCCAGGTACTTTACACTAACAAATTCCTCTTTGCTAAAATGAAGATAGTTTTGATGGGTTTTGTTGCTTAATAGTTCAGAGGAAGAGCACCTGGTAGCTTTCTGCTCTTTACTTTGGTTGATATTTGTCAGGTTTAAGTGAGATCACAACAGAACTAAGAGGCAAGACAAGAGGTGTATCTAGAAGGGGAGCAGAGTGCAGTTATGTGGTCTACCTTAGTGAGGTTCATCACATTACTAGCACCATAACCTATGACTTTAAGAGTCAGGTGCCAAGGTTCATCTCAGTCCATAATTTGTATGGTTTGATGATTAAGCAGGTAGTGAGGGAACCCACAGAAAACCAGGAAGCCTATTCTTCTGGAATGGGTCATTTACACAAAGCACTGGCTGGCAGAGAGATTACTGCAGCTGTATTATGACTGGGTGGCTGTGTTGATGAATGATATATTTGAGGGTCTCCAGCTGAACCCAGAGCCCCATTCTACTAGGCACTAGATGTAGGTGGAGGGGAGGACCTTCACTTCCTCTGCCCTGCCCAAACAAGAGTCCATTTTACAGACAGCAAACTAATATTCTGAGTGTTTCCAGCAGTAGGGATTGCCCCTCCCCAAATTACAGTTGTGGGAGCAGATTCTGTCAGTGTCCTTCAGACTCCTTTTCTTATGCTTCAAGCTTTTGGGAGTCAGATGCTGCATGTAATCTGAGCTACTTGGAAAATGCCTGGATCCAGTGAATAGCTGTGTTGTTAAATATTTGGGGAAGCCTTTTAGGTTCAGGCACATACTGGTTATCTTTTGGTCTTGTATGAAGGTGCTATGGTCTGTGAGAGAGCTTTTATGTAGTGCAGTTTTAAGGATTAACATGCTGTGGGAATTAAATTTGCCAGCCAGCACCCTGGAAATAATTTTTTGTTCTATAGACAAACATTGAAATAAAAATCAAGAATAATTTCTTTCTGCAGTCCAGAGAATAATAAAAGAGATGCTACAGATAAACAGAAATAAAAGAAAACCAAGCACATAATTATCCATGTTTTAGATCCAGCTCCAGTTGTTTTTCTGTGTTATCCAACTAACTAGCTGTCAAGATGCTTACACAGCATCTTAGATGTGACTTTCTCCTTTAATGATGTGCTCATTGAAGAGAGCATGGATGTAGGGACAGACTGTTCTTATGTAGTAATTTTCTCTTTCGGTTTTCCATTTAAACCCTCCCAGTAAGGGTTACTCATAATTCCTCATTTAATCTGGATATCTATGTGTATCACAGCTCAGGTGTGTATTGGCCACCTCAGTCGATTTTTATAAATCCTGATTTCCTTCAGGTTGGAGCTAAGCCAAACTATCTTTGTCTAGAGAATAAACAGAACATGTTAACAACTCTCCAGATCCTCAAACATAAACAAATCATTAATCCATTGTGTAAGGAATGTTCCTTTCAACCAAGGAGATTGGTTGATCCATGATACATAATCTTTGGTATTTGGAAGCTGATAAGTCATAACAGTGTATCAATAAAGATAACACTTTTTGTGAATATACAAAACAGAATAACACATGCAGTTCATTGCCCTTTGTGGATCTAGGCTAGATACAGGGTAACCAACCACTTCTGTAGGGGTTGAACACAGCTAAGCTTGACTTTGAGGGGTACTGTGACAAATAATTTTGGGACACACACAAATAAGAAAATATGTAGCCTTGGCATTTTCCCAGAGAGCATCTATCTGCATTGTTGCTTGTTTGTATCTTGCCATCTTTGGGTTTAGAATCATAGAACCAACTAGATTGGAAGAGACCTTTAAGAACATCAAGTCCAACCATTACCTTATGACTGCCAAGACCACCACTGAGGGCTTCATCTACATGATTTTTTAACAGTTCCAGGGACGGTGACTCCACCACTTCCCTGGGTAGCCTGTTCCAATACCTGATCACCCTCTCTGTGAAGAAAGTTTTCCTAATATCCAATCTCAACCTTCCCTGGCGTAGCTTGAGGCCACTACCTCTTACCCTATCGCTTGTTACTTGGGAGGAGAGACTGACCCCTGTGAGATAAAAACTTTTCTTGTAAAAGCTCAGGGTAGACAAAACAGTGAAGCAGCATCTATTTATTTAATGTTTTTGCAAAAACGAGTGTCCTGGTAAGTAGGCACACACCTGGAGCGTTCCATGGGGTTGTTGTGGCCCAAATGCCTGGAATTTTGCCTTTTTGAACCTCATGCCATTGGCCACAGCCCATCTATCCAGCCTGTCCAGATCCATCTGCAGAGCCTTCCTGTCTTTCAGCAGATCAACACTCCCAGCCAACTTGGTGTCATCCACAAATTTGCTGAGAGTGCACATCCAGATCATCTGTGAAGATATTAAACAAGACAGGCCTAACACCGAGCCCTGAGTGACACCACTAGTCACCGGTCACCAACTAGATGTGATGCCATTTACCACCACTCTTCAGTCTTGGCCATCCAGCCAGTTTCCAACTCAGCAAAAAATCCACCTATCTAGGCCATCAGTCTTATCTTGGGCTATCCCATCTTCCAGCAAGGCAGCAAACATATCTTTCTGAGAGAGTTGATTCTCTTTCACCTCACCCCTCCTGTTATCACCTCTTGTGTTTTGTTTGGGACCCCATTCCCCCAAATCTCCTAACTGCTAGATTTTTTCTATGACTTCTCCTATGGGGTTTCCAGTTTCATTTATCAATAAAGTCATTGTAATACCTTTATACACATGTGGTGCAGTCCTAATAATCCTGTTCCGAATTGAAGGTGGTAGTGGAACCTGCAGCATAACATCTGTATCTTCAGCATAAACAGCAGCTTTAGTAGCTGGTGCAGTGCTGTTTTCAGCTTTAGTTATTGGACTGTTCTTATCTAAATCTGTAAGGTTTACATTCTTTCAGTTCTCCTCCCCATCCCACCAAGAGTGGGGAGGAAGAACGGGGGGAATGAGCAAGTGGCTGCGTGGTTCTGAGTTACCAGCTGGGCTTAAAGCACAACACAGAGGAACCTGCTCCAAAGTCCCCCAGAAAGAGTGAGGGATTTCCTAATGCAAAGTCAGTGAAAGCTTAAAAAAACCTAACCACTCTACCAGTTCTGAAAATATCACCAGTGTGTCATAAAAAGAGAAAACTTTCTGTCAACATCTTGTCTGGTTTTCATCTATTCATTTCCGCTCTCTCAAAGCAAGATCGATGCCC